ATGCTCACATTAGTGGCATCCCTTAAGTTTTCACGCTTGGGGTTAAAATCTGTATCACCATCTACCCGATCAACTTCATATACTTTAATACAATCTACATAACCTAACATATAACCGAGAAATATCTCTATGGACGAGTCTCTTTCCAATTCAAACAACAATTTTTTAAACAGCCTCTTGTCGTAAATTCTGAACACTTTTCTACCAACAAGGTTTTCAACATACGACGTGGTTTTAATGTTTGCTGTTTGCTTGATACCATTTGACCCAATTATTGGTATCAAAGGTTCACCTGCTTTGTCATAAAATGCTATTTTATGCGTCTCTTCTTTTGTATTTGAAAAACGCTACCTTAATTGAATAGACATACTCCTTTCTAGGGTTTGATTTTCCTGTTCTTACATTTTCCTTTTTTGTTTCCTCCATTCTTTCGCCTAGACTGGGCTTATCCTTATGTTTGTCATAAATCTTGTTATATTCCTGTTCTGCCCTTTCCTTGTCCTTTGTTGTCTTGGCTGTGATGAACTTTCTTACTAAATTGTCGGCTGTTGTAAACTGGGCTATCTTGCGTTCAGAATATAAATCTATGATGTTTCTGACTTTTTCCTTGGTTGCTTTGTCAAAACGCCTTTTATAATTATCGTACACTGCTTCTAAAGCAGCGATATTTCTCTGGATAGCTTTGGTCATAAATTACAAGATATATTAATTTTATAACTAAAATATTTCTTTAAATGTATTTTTCTTAAGACTTTTTTTATACTGCTTCAATATCAAATATTGGTATAATATTAAGACAAAATACTTAAAGAAATAGTATCTATATATTTTAATAGTGATATGACAAGACCTGAAGATATGACAATAGATGAAATCCGAGAACAACTGGCGCTGTACAACAGGCTGTATTATAATAAACGGCGTGAAGACAAAGAGCATTTAGATAAAAAAAGGGCTTCGAGGGATAGATATCTGGAGAAGAAGAAGATGGAGAAATACATAGCCGAAAATGGTATAGATATTTCAGTCGTGAAGTTGACACCAGAACAGAAGGCAGAAGCACTAGGGGGTAAAACGAAGGGAGCTAAGTACGCCATGAAGAACTGCAAGGTGATAACAGTAATTCCTGAGGAAGAACAAGCAGAAGAAAAATAATAATTTTTTAAAAAAATATTATTTTTCTTACTTAATTATATGAGCGAGAAGCAGAAAATAATTAATGATGTTTATTTTGACAAGGCTGGTTTTGGTTCACGGCAACGTACCTTAGATGAAGCCAGAAAGAAGGATAAAAGTATAACAATGGACGATATCAATGAGTTTTTTAAGAAGAATGTAGAACAAAAGCGTAGACCAGTCGGTACGAACAGTTTTGTAGCACCGCATTCAGCATACGAGTATCAAATTGATTTATTCTTTATAAACGACATGGAAAATCAAAAGTTTAGAGTAGGAATGTTAACGATTGATGTTTTTGATAAGTTTATGCATGTTGTACCTATTAAGGGCAAGACCGAAGAAGATTTAGCAAGTGGTATAATTGAATGTCTACACAAGATGGGGAAAAAACCCAAAATTGTTTACACCGACGACGAGGGAGCGCTAAGCAAGGAAGCAATACAAACATATTTTGAGGAACAGAATGTTGAACATCACATAACAAGAGCACACCCAAATTTTAGTGAGCGCGCGATACGCACTTTTAAAGATTTGTTGTATAGGAGGGTTGAAGCAGATGAAAAAAAAGGTAAAGAGAATGTCCAGTGGATAGATTACATACACGAGATTTTGTTAACGTACAATAATGTAATGAAACATTCTGCTACCGAAATGACACCTAAAGAGGCACGAAAGCCATCAAATGAGTTAAAAGTTAAATTGAATTTAGCCAGTAAGGCTAAGAAAAATAGGATGTATCCAGAGTTGGAAAAAGGGGATGAGGTCAAAATATTTAGGAAAAGAAAGTCTAATGAAAAAGAAAGGGTGGGGAATTTTAGCAAGAACGCCTACACTGTTGAGAAGATAGAGAAAAACCTAGGACAGAATTACTATTATGTGGAAGGTGTTGATAGAGCATATTTAAGGTTTGAGTTATTGAAGGTTTGATAGGAAGCTGGAGTAGGACTGAAACTTGTCCGAGCAGGACCACTGGCACCGCCTGGTTGTATGCCTTTTGGCTTCACAAGTTAGCTCGTTTTTGAAAGCCGTCACGTGCAGAGCGATATTGATAGCAAGACCGTTTGCGTTGTCTTGACAGCTTGCTAGCATGCAAGTTATATACTTGTCAATATAAGCAGATGAAATCGTGCAAAGCACGGGGTTTGTTGGCTGGGCAGTCTGGATCATGGACGGTGCGCAAACCAATGGCGCAGATCAGTGGTTGTTCGCCGTACTTCTTTGCCTGTCTACTACGTTGATGCTCCTTTTATTGTGGGAGAGGGATGCACGGAAGAAGGAGAGGGATGCACGGAAGAAGGAGAGGGATGCACGGAAGAAGGCAGAGGCAGCGGCCAAAGCAGCACAGCAAGAGAAGGAGATGGTTGCCGGTACGTGGTGGCATCGCATCTCCGACCTGCAGTCCAAGAAGACCCGTATCCAAAATGATAACATAGTGAGGTCAACGTCTCTGGCAGAAGTGTGGTGCCCAAAAAAAAGCAAAGAGGGCCATTCCGACGAGTGCAGCAAGCGCAGCAAGCAGCGCCAATCTGAAGGGTATATCCGTGTCCCTTTTGGGTGGCCCTCCTGGCCAGCTGAAGCGTGCACACTTGTTGCCAAACAGCCTCAATTGTGCATTAGTTTGGGACACTATTGTCAAAAGCATGATCAAGGTGCCTCAACAAGAGGCCTGGACAGCCATAGTAGGCATGTTGGGTGAGGAGAACGTCGCGACCTTATCCTTGCGAAACGCCAGTTTCAATTTTCTTGCCTTGGATGGAGAAGGTGATTTGCTTGACAGCAATCCACAGATTATGATTCTTCCGGTTCTTTCGAAGCAGAATGTCATAGACTGGGCTGGAGAGGCCTACAACGCCGTTTTCATTGCTGGTACACCGGACGCATACAAGAAGGCAGGAAGTTATGAACGCACCCCACGTGCAACTATGCAGCATGTCGAGCAGGCTTTTCAGACTTTTGAAACAGTTGCTTCGACACTGGTTGCCTTGTATTCAACAGACCGGTTTGAACGCATGGTTACCCTTGGTGACAAAACATATGGGAAGCCGGACGCATCGATGCAATCTCAGTGCAGAGTGTTTCAACAGTCGGTGCAACGGAATGGATTATACGTCCCTTGTCCAGGTGAAGACTTGAGGTTTCCATACATTGCTTTTTCCGAGAACATGCCAGGACCAGACGTGAAGCAGCCCTGGAGACCAGGAAGCGGCCATTGTGCACCACACCCGCTCCTGTTGTTGGCACGCAGCTTGAACTCATGGGCGAACATGCGTGCAGGCAATGACACAAAGATGCGATTCGTACCGGCTTGCATGCCGCCTCTGGAAGCAGAGTTTGACGAAGTGGAATGGGATTTTTTCGAAACACTTCACCGGTTCCAGATGGAAGACCGCTTACGCAGAGGATCACCTCCTGCGCAGCAGGATCGGCTTCAGCACATGCTCAGACATGTGGACAGTTTCACAAGCAAGGCCGATCCTTAAATCCGTCATTGTAAAGAGCCCCAAGACACTGAGAGACTCGATGCTCGCAGCTTGCAAATGCGCCCAAGCTGCAGCGGGTAAAGGATGTAAGCGAAGTGGTTGGGATCAGATGGGCTTGTCACTCAAGGTTCTGCACCAGATCTGGGGGGTGGTGGTGAGTTGCCCGAAAGGTCCTTGTAAGAGGATTTGTAGAAGAGCCTCAACTTGTCAACTATTGGTCGAATTCTCCGCGATGGAGTGTGTGTGTGAGTGTGATGTGTCTACGTGAAAGTTCTGTCCATGTTTGGTTTTAGGCTCCGACCCAGCCAATATGATGCCCAGATACTCAAAGCGTCAGGTGGCTCGCCTGGACCACTGAACCCTGACCCGCACGACCAAGACCCAAAGCCCTAAACCGTAGATTCCAAAAGGCCACAAGCCCCGAACCCAAACCTTATGCCCCAAAACTTAAAGTTGCCAGGGCATGCGGTTTGGGTGGGAAGATCCGATCAGGTATGAGGCATCTCGGGTTTTGATTTTCTTCAACATGCCGCGAAAGATTGGCAAAGGGTTGTAGACTGCGCTTGCCAAAACTAAAAATGGATGTTGGCTGTCATTCCTAAATCATGAGCCCTGAACCCCACCCTACTACCCCATACTATTCTACATAAATTGAATAAACCTAACCTTGCCCATTTCGGGAGTTACATCACCTGATAAATAGGATGAGATAGAGTATTTTATAGATAATGAGCTAGTAATTGTGATTTATTGGGCTATAGATGTTCACGGTGATGTAACACCCGAAAACGGGCAAAGCTATCCCTAACTGTTTTCACTGGGAGCAGACTGCAGCTTCAGCATAGGGAAGCAAGCTTTCATTCATGCTTCACCAACATCTCAGCGACGTGCCGTGTTACTGTCTCGCTTGCGTCAAGGCCTGGGCCATCTCTACTTCGTCCGAGCCGCTGGGGCTACAGGAGCGGAGTGCAAAGTCTTTCGGAGAGCCCCTGAACAAGCTGCTAGTCGCAGAAGCCCATCGGCCTTTCACACAGACAGTGCCCCTGTACGGCTTGAGTTGCAGGCAGTGCTGGACTACGTGGCTCCGTACTGGGAGGCAGCGCGACTGGTTTACACGGCGCATCACGGGGCATTTTTGAAGTTCTTGTTCAACCCACCAGGTCGTTTACGAAGGCAACGAGTCGGCTGCATCGGACTCAGCATCACCCCACCACCCAGCGGAAGAGGCCGTAGCCCAGAAAGAAACAGGCGGAACACGCGGAAGAGCTGTACTTTACCTACCTCTACAATGTGACGGCTGAAAGCCGAGAGGCTTGATCCTGCGGAGTTTTGGCATGTTTTCCAGATGAGTGTCGTGTCGGAATGTGTCGGATGCTTGGCCTCTCGAGGCGGCTGTCCTGCAAGCATGCCAGATTCCTGGAGCTTTGCTGTGCTCCAGATGCACAACTTCTTGCTCAGAAAGGTTAGCGTGTAGCAGGTTGGCATGGTTTGGCTACGGGTGCCAATTCAGAACAGCCGCTGCTGTGCGATACTGCTTCCAAGGTAGGTTGCCCAGCAAATGATGCCAAACACGCAGGGCTTCCTTAGGGGACGAGGGGCCGTTGCTGAGGCATTCCTGAGCGTCACCTTGCCCAGGCACGGAACTGTGATGGGCTGTGCAGATTGCTGAGGAATGCGTTCATGTGCCGAATGAGGCTCACGGAGCTCTGTGACCCTCGCTTCGAGGCTGGATCACGGTGCATCAAGAGTGAGCTTGCCTCGAATTCTCCATGCCTCTCAATCTAGCGCGGTCGGCAGGGCGATTACAGTGCAGTTCTTGTCACATATCATGACAACGGCCGAAACCTCAGCACTCGGTGTGGACTTGCACCTGCTTACTGCTGCGTTTTTGGTTGCAGGCCTTTTCGCCAACATTTTGCAACTCTTAGATGTGGGACGCTCAGCGACTCTTCGGGACAGAAGCTTGAGCGGCTGAGAAAGAGAAGACCCAGATCCCAGTGGAAAGAGAACTCGTGTCTACAATACCGTCAGGATGGAAAGCCGCTTTCAGCAGTACAGGAGCTGATAGAGAGGCACAGTTTCAACAGCGGAAAACGACAGGGCCGGCAGGCAGCTGAAAGCATGATTAGAACATATTAGAACACATACGCACCCTTGTTCACGAAAGTAGTGTCCAGAGTGGCATCGAGAGGTGACAGTGAGGTTGCGAAGCGAAAGGGAGGCAGCTGCAACTGAGACATGTTTCCCTATATGTTGAGACAAGGGAACAAGACGGCCTTGCAGGGATCTGGCGAGTGCCAGGAATCCACAGGGATTGTCAAGCGCGCGTTCCGACGATTCTTGCCCCCACCAGCTTGCAATGGATCGAAATTCGGATTAAGTTATTTCTTACCCAGGTCTGCTTCTTTCGAATCTGAGGCACTCTTGCTGGCAAAGCCCGGCGCCCCTGTGCTTGTAGCCTGCAGCCCAGAGAAAATCTTTACCAGACTTTGGTTGCAGACGACCCGCCGGTTTCAAGGATTGGCAGCGGAAGGGAGGCGAGGGTCATTTTCAGTGCGCACCTGAAGCGGGAGTGGGACGGGGTTATCGTTGCTGGTCATGCTACTTGTGCATCATGGACGAAATCGTGCCAACATTGATTGGAAGGTATGGCCGCATTGGTTTCGACCTCTTCGAGCACCTCTTCTCAAGAACTCAGCGCTGTCGATCCTGGGGCAAGGACACGAAGCACCGAAGGGTCCTTTCGCACACCCCAACAGAGTTTGGCAGTCGATGTATGCTTTTCTGGCGTAACTGTCTGAGTCTGTCTCCTTGCCGAAACAATCTCTTGACAGTACTCCGCCGACCGGCGGCTTCAGTCTTCGTCGTACAACATGAACAAGAGGTGGAGCAGCGGCAAGCAGCCTTTTCATGAGCAATGTCTCTGCCAACTTGCCTAGGGTGAGCATCCTCTTCATGCCCAGAGCTCGGCCGCGTAACTGTGCAGTCAAGCTGTGTTAGACGCTCCTCGCATGCTCGCACAAGCTGTGGCAGGAACATGCTGCGAGGCTTGATTTGGAGCGTCCCTCCGAAGGACCACGGCAGCCAGTCCTAGACCCAATGCGAATACGTTGCAATGGGATCGATTTGAGTCGGCTGACAGCTCAAATCCGCACTGTGTACTTCTGCGGGTGTGGAGGACTTCCAAGCACTGCGCGTAGGCTCTCTGGCAGCTGCAACTACCAATGCTCGGGAAGAATGCAGCGGTTGATGTATGCTGTATACTCAATCTTCACGCTCCGCGCCACGTGCTAGGCTATCACCGGGCAATGCAGGGTGCTCTCACAATCTCTCCGCTGATCAGTCGGAGAGTTAGAGAGGCAGCACAGCTGCGACAGACTGCGCATGATCTCTCCAAGACGGTTGCTTGGGACCGCAAGCTTAGCTTCGAGGCATTTAGCACCGGTTCAGGTGACGGAAACCTGGCCAGAAAGAGCCCGTGTGGCTCGAAACTCAATCTCTTCGCCTGGTTCCGTGCCTGCCTGTGATTACATCTTCCACTCCGAAGTGCAGAGGTGGGTGTTCACAAACGGTTGGGCACAAACGAGGCATCATGCGGTCTTTCTCCTGTTTCTCAGCGCCTGGAAGACATCTTATATAGATATCTTGCAATGAAGGTGGCGGCGTGTCAGCTTGCTCAGAGGAACCCTCCACCAGAGGAGTACCTTGAAGCTGCCCACAGCTTACAATGATTTCTGAGATGGCCACAGATGCCGGGACTGTGGAAGGTCAACAGATTCAGTTTGCCCATTCTCAATCAGGCGAAGGCCCTCCTGCAGCAGACTCCGCCAGCTTCTCAAGGAAAGTCTCACTCAGATCCATACCACTACCCGAGCCGGTGCTGAGGCCTGGTGTCCAGCAGGCCGCATACCGTAGAGACGTTTTTCCCACGCGGTGCCACACAGCAGCAGGCTGCAGGTATTCATGTGTGTGTGTGCTTCCGACCTATCGTGTGAGTGGCAACAGATGGCAAGCAACAGACAGAGCATGGTGAAAAGCTTCGGGGATAGCGCGCTTCCTGCGACCTGCTATTGGAAGATGAAGTTATTTCTACAGCACGTACAAGCCCAACAGGTGCTCTATCTAGCCACCGACGAGGTCCAGACCGTTGAAGTCTTCCGAAAGGCAAGACTTCGCCCACTTCGCGGCGCATGCTCGAGGATGTTCGGTGCTTGCGTTGGTGAAGGCATTGCCGCCTGGAAGCCAGGCCAGTGGCACTGCTCTAGTAACTCTTTTAGCTGCTCAAGCCCCGTGAAGTAGGCACAAGTGTGCGAGCTGTCTTTAAACCTTGCGATGCGCATGTCTTGATGTGGACTTTCGCATCTCCGCATGCCTCGAGATACAGTTGTGCTGTCGCGATGGCGTGAAGCGCCGTCCTCAGCTTCAACTTCAACGTCTTGCCGGATGTCTTTGAAGATTTCCCTTTCGAAGGCGCTCGCGAGGCGGAGTTCGTCCAGACGGTATTGACAACGAAGTGCACCGGTCTCCTTGCGAAGCTGTCGACGCTGAGGTTTCCGTCCGCGTGTCTAGTTTTTGGACGATGCCGGTGGTTGCAGTCACGCTGAAGGATGCATTGGTGGACGCCATGTGTTTGAGCAAGTGCACGGACCTGGTTTGCATAGCCCGGGGCCGAGCGCGGCAGCTGTGCGGCCAACCCCAATAGTTCGCTGAGCGGTGCTACGTTGTTGCGACTCTCAGGACTCGAACTTGTCCATCTTTGTGTCGCGTCCTTATCCTTGGTTGCATTCACGGGCACCAGGAAAGATTTGGGTCCTGAAGCACTCCTGCAGCTCAGATCGATGCTGAATCCCAGGGTTGTGGCCTCACGCAGCAGAGATCCAGCACAGCACAAGCATGGGTCTGCCCGACAGATACATATCCATGCGATGAGCGACGCTGTCCCCCCCGGGTTCGGAGCCCAGCTGCACAATTAATTTTCAATCAACCAAGCTGGGCAGCTGGACTTAACTGAACGAACGTAGCTCTGCCAGGTGGGAGGAGCGAGCAAATTATCCCAGGGAGCCCGTGCACTCCTCCTACAGGCGAGACATTTCCAGACTTTCTGTACTGATAAGATTCCATGCCTTACTTCGCCCATTGTGCCATGCCTTCATCTATCTACCCCCGTCACAGGGTGGCCTGGAACCCTGGCCTTTTCCTTTCAGCGACGCCAGCCTGTCTTAGCTGCGAAACAGCGAACGGCAGGACGCCTCCGGATTACGATGCGGTGTGCTGGTTCTTGAATGTTCTTGAGGTGTTGCCGCCCGTAAAGGCTTGAATTCAAGGATTGCTGGGCTTCCATACGCGGAGGAGCAGGAACAGCGCCAAGTGACTGCACAATTCTACCAGTATTCTACCAATTACTTGCATTCTGGAAGTCAGTGTTCAGGCGATTGCACAGCTACGGCATGCTCCCATATTCATGTTAAAGCAGCAAGTTGAAGCCTGCCGATCAGAAGAAGTGCTTTGAATCTTGTGCTTGATCGGACTTCCGATCTCTGATGCCGCTTCCCGCAAGCCTTTCCTCATGCATGATGTGTGGTGTGGCATGCAATCTCCTGGATCTAGCTCATTCTTACACCTCATGCCGAATGCGCAAGACAGGACCGAAGAACCAGAAAACTGATGATGAAAGAGGCGAGAAAGATAATGGAACTAGCGATACTTGCACTACATCTGGAACCGTTCGCGGCCATGTCTGTCGCACAAACGGTGCCACGGGGCGTGCCAAATGCATCTCGGCACCCTGTCCTCTTCAAGCTTGCAAAGATAATCGGTGGAAGTTCGCTCAGACAGATGCGCACACAAGTCTCCGAGGCATTGAGTCATCGCACCTTGAGTACAAAGTTCCTGGTGCTGGCGGGACTGTTGTGCGTGGCTCCTGCTTTCACATCCCTGTCGCGTCTAAGCCGCTGCCCTTCCGTTTCCCAAAGAGCATCGAAGGCATCTTTGCAGGAACTGCTGATGCCTTGATTAACGTCACAGGGCCGACCGGTTGTGGTTCCGAGAGAGACAGGAAGTGTTCGCCATGCAGCCAGCACTTGATCCCAGAAATTTTTAAAGAAGCACCTCCCTGCTCCCTGAAATCCCGCCACCGGCATGGGGTTAAAGTTTGTAGAACAGAGTATGTTGCAGACATGGCTGGGGTGGCCTCAGGAGTGGCCCAGGAGGCGTCGTGTCTCTGGAATCTGGTGGCCTAGAATAAGGCAGACCCAAAACAGTATCGGTAGGGGACAATGTCGGTCTCATTGGTGAGGGATTTGCAGTGCTTGGGCGAGGTGGTCATCAGCGGTGCAGGGCCCGCAGGGCTTCTTGCAGCACGTTGTATTCTTGATCGACGCCCAGAAGCGAATCTGGAAATTCTCGAGAAAAGAGGCACTCTGACACAGCAGACTGGCAGAGTATCATGAGTATCTTCCCTGTAGCGAACAAACTGGAGCTCGTGCAGAGTAGCTTGGCGCCTGCTTTCGACTGTGCTGCCGCAGGCGACCCGCGCACCGAGCAGATTTCCGGCTTTCGTGCCTACTCGCTAGGGCTCAACATTCGCGGACGCACTGCGCTGCAGCACTGGGAGGGGCTCTGGGAACGGGTCTCCAGCAAGGCACGGGACCTGTATGGACCTGCAACACGTAGAGACGTAGAGCTAGAGCTAGACACTTCCTGGACCTGTCAGGGCGTCCTCAGCGATAAGTTCCTTTTGCATATCGGAGGCCTCTTGGCTTCGGTAACACATCTTTTTTTGGTTGAGCCAAGCATTGCTGCCCCCAAGAGCAGCTCACGCGATCCTTCGTTTCGATGGGGCACTGACATGTTGCTTTTGAACTCTCCTTGGCCGGGAACCTGACTCGAGGCCAACAGCTGCAGCTTCGTGCAAACAGACCTGGCAGTGTGCCAACCCTGCTCATTGCAAGAAACGACTTATGCGCAGCGCTACTAGATGACTTGGAGAAGCATCACGGAGCTTCTGCATCAGGGCGGCTCTCCATTCATTTTGGCGAGACCCTGGACATGATAGACCTGAAAGAGCATACCTGCAAGACGTCGCAGGGAAGAGAAATTGGTTATGATGATCTGATCGGTGCAGATGGAGTGAACTCACTAGTTCGAAGCGCCCTGAGCACCGCATCTGCGTTCCGCTCCGAGTCTGTAGACTTGCCAGGACAGTTCAAAGTGTGGGTAGGACCATGTCCGAAATCCATGGATCCTATGGCGGTGCATGCCATGAGTTCCAGAGAGTACACTCTGTTCTCCATTCCCCGTGTTGATGGCCGTTTATGCACCATTCTTTCTTGGACTGGTGAAGCACCCGACTTCCTGGAAAACTCAGACGAGCTTATTCGCCAGCGGATCGGTGCAGACTTCCCGAGTTTCGGTCCTCCAGAGCTTTCAGCTGTGGAGCAGCTTCGGGCGCAGAGACCAAGCAAGGCGACCACAATACGTGCCAACAGATATCACGACAAGGATGGCCATGCCATGCTGCTAGGAGATGCGGCACACTCAACAGGAGGCACGCTTGGGCAAGGTGCAAACAGCGCGCTGGCAGATGTGGTGTTCTTGGATCAATTACTCCGAAAACACGATGCTGGCGCATCTGTTGTAAAAGATATAGGTGAAGAGTTTTCCGCTGCTCGGCAGCCAGAAGGGTTGGCCCTGTGGAAATTGCTGCAGTTGCCACCTAAGGGTCCAGCGTCAGTATTGTATTTGGCTTCGCAGGGAGTCGCGGGATTGCTTTCAAGATTGCTGGACTGGCTCCCGGTGGGTCAGCCACCTGTGCAGAATTTGTTGAGTGAAACCACTACGCCATACTCCGAGATTGTCAGTCGCAATGGGTTCTGGATCGACATGGCTTTACAAGATGCACCCGGCGCAGAGATCTCGAGTTTCGAAAGCGACTAAAAGATGCGATGCTGCCGCTGTCTTCTTTGGTTCGACAGTTCGACAGATTTCTGAAGTCTGAACGCAGTATCGATGGCTGTGTTCGTGTGGCTTGCCTTACCCATGACCCTGCTAGATCGTGGGTAGCTAGACTTCTGACTGACTGCCCCAAATCTTATGAACCCTCCCGAAACTCCGAGCCCAAACGCATAGCTTTGCGTGCCAGGCCTTCCCCAGCACTGCTGCTGAAATTGTGGGCCAAGTGCTGTTTGACCAGATTGTGCGCGCTACAGGCCGCTCGGCGTGCTCCTCTCATGTGGGCAGAAAGTGTCCCGATTGATTGGATGCTGCACAGGACGCTATTGGGAAGGCTGGGTGGAGCTGGAGAATGGTGGCTGGGCCAGAGGCTAAAGATCCACGCGAGTCTGCCATGACTGCCTCTGTACGGAGACTCAAAATGGATAAGCTGCAGATGTGCCGGCAGCTTTTGACCGAATGACTCGACCCAGACCGTTTGTTATCCTTCCTTGCCTGAACCCAATACTGAATTAGCATCATGCAACGAGCGACTTGAAGAGGAGGTCAATCCGCGTTGATGCTGTCGCAGGGCTCTGCTGTAGGGTAACACTGACTACACCTGCTCTGTCAAGGTTCGGGCGCAAGGCGAGTGCTGCAATGCTCATTATGTTCCTGACAAACGGAGGAGAACGGGGTTGCCATGACTGCGCGAGGTGGGAGGAGCGGTTGTTGGGCAATGGAATACGTAGAAAATCAGTTTGGGCCTCGGGCAATCGACGTTCAAGCTGCAATCAGTCTTCACATCGTCTGCTGGAGAATTGCGCACTTACCTCGCAGTGAAAGTGGTCATTCTAAAGCTCAGCTGCGGATTTCCAAGGATGGTCTCCATGCGAAGAGTATCCCGTGGTGAGCTTCTGGTTCCAGAGGGTGAAAGGCGTGATTCACGTTGAGCAAGTGGCCACAAGGGCTGCAGGGCTTCTCGTAGAATCTCGTAGACTGAGATTTGTTTGTAGCTGCAAGCCCGTCTTTTTTAAGATCTCGGGTGACTGGCGATTCTGAGATATTCTGAGCATTTCATCGCGAGAAGGCTGCCAAGGAGGAGACGGCCGGATGCGAGAACCTCAGTCGAGACTGCGGATGGCTAAATTAATTCGTCCTGTTCGTTGAGCTGTGCTTCGTGTTTCCAGGAGCCATTGCCATCAGCTTGCTGCCGAGCAGAGACGCCCGAGCCTATGCCGGTTTAAGTACGATCAGCGCAATGTCGGATGTTGTAAGCAACATTTTTTGCTGCCAAGGTCCGCATATACAGCGTGCGCCAACCTTACATAACCCGCGGAGGTTGCTACACGTTGTATACTATGTCGTTGGTAAGCTATGTCGCACAGCGTGCAACATGTGGCTTGACGAGGCACCTGGGCCTGCATATCATTAAGAGCCGGCCCGCGATATCGCAGAAAGCCTCAAATCTAGCGGAGTCACCGTGATATTTCGCGGTCCTCCCAAGGATGAAAAGCATGCGCTTGGGGTAGCTGGTACGGTACTGCATTGTCGCTGACCTAGATCTTAGGACGCATCGACTCACTGCATCTTGTGTTGGCAAGCTTTGCTTGGGGCTCAAGTCCTACGAAGCGGCGAAACAGTCTGCAAAGCATCCGAAGATGCCGGAGCACGAGGATGGGGTCTGTCTCACGGCATCATCTTGTTGCTGTCAGAAGACTTGCTTGCGGGAGGTTTGCGCATGCGTTGTTGTGCACATTCGATAACGGGACCACTTGAGTATTGAGTCAGTATTGTGCCCATGCCGCAGGGAGCGAAACTACTTCCTAGTGATGCTGCACGTCAGGCCTGCTTGCTGGTAAATTTCCGCCGCAAAGCTTGTTTAGTGCATTGGGTGAGCGGAGCGCACTTGATACAGGATGAGCTCGAGGGCAGAAGGAAGAGGCTTCTCGAGGGCATCCCGATCTTGTCTGAAAACCGTTCTGTGAGCGGTGCCTGGTCAGCAGTACAGCAAGGCGTCCTTTGATCCTATTGCATGGTTTTCATCCGGCTCACTGGTTCACCTGGAACCTGCAAGGATGTCAGCGATTCTGCCTGGCAATTCTCCGCGCCATTATCTTTGTTGCAGCAACGGTTGGTTTGCTTTGGCTGCAAATCTGGTTGAGCGAAACGAGACTTCGGCGGGATGATTGATGTTTGCCCCTCCTTGGTCGGCATGCGTCCACTGGCGACAGCTGTCAGATGCACCCAAGGAACGTTGAGACATTCCGAGAAACCTCGATCCACAAAAGAGCCATCCTTGGTGAGAACGGAACGATTAAAGACACATCGGAGACTTGGCAAAAGGGATCCACTGGCTTCGGCTCACGAGTACCTTTTTCTTCTTTTCACTCGTCGTTGCCTAGTAGCCAAGGACGAAGCTTGCCCTGTCTATGTGGAACTGCAGGCCAGGGAGGTCATACGGCAACATTTTGAAGTGCTTGAAGTGCCACGGTGACTCTTCTGATTTCATCATTCCAGCTACTTGTTCGGAGGGGCATTTCAATTATAGCGTAATTTGTTGAGCCAGATCCATCAGCGGGAGTCATGTGGCTTGACAAGTCAGCTGTGTCGTTTCCAGTTGTGACATGAACTGCCCATCTCCAGAGCCCTTCCATGCAGTTCCACGTAGCTCTGCCTGCGATCACGGCAAGAGCTGCACCCCTACCTGGCTCGATACTGTGTTCTGTGGAGGACCCATGGGCATATCATCTGGCCAAGTTAGGTTCCTTGCAAGACGCTTTGCCTGCAAGTGGTGCAAGTTGCTGTCGACCCTGCGCCACACCATGCCGCACCTGTTTGTTGCTGTCAGCTCAGTTGTCCGGGTCTGGTTCCTGCAGGGTCTGACCGAGCAATGAGGTACTTTAATGTACTTTCATCAAAGTTGTAACCTTGCCCCGAAGTAAGCCGTGCACAAAGGCTTCTGCATGAGCGGACCTAGACAGCTCCTCATTCTCCATCACCGCATGGCAGCACGATTCTGCGGCTAGCTGGGTGTCACAGCTGAGATCAACATCGTGCCTCATGGCCGCTTCGCAGACGACCTGCCAACAATTCAATGGTATGCCAGTGAGGAGGTTTACAGGACGGCTGTAAACGCATCTGATCTGCACGTAGGTTCTGCAGAGTGTTTAACCAGAGCCATCGGGAAATGTTCTTGATGAAAGCAGTGTCCGAGATCAACTGACGCAAGAGTCGTAGAATCCTGTGGCAGGAACAGAGACGTGTACCTTCTCTTCAGCATGGGAGCACGCGCTTTGAACCCTGCAGTTGTCAGCATTGGGCTCGAAGAGGCTGCTTGGGGTGTCGTGCATGTGCAGGGTTCACCCTAGCATCTTGCTGGATTTACAATGTAATTTCTAGTACGGGTAGAGGCTTCAGCCCTTTTTCTCGGCAACTCAGACAGTCAATCTGTTCTGCCAGGCTATGTCAACCGAGCGTTACATGACAGCGCTACAAGAAGCCTTCTCCCGCAACCTCTTGAACCCCTTGGCTGCGGGCTTGGCAAATTCGCAGAATCGTAGATTTGTGACGACGTATTCCTAGATTATAAGTTCAGGCCAGGGATCAGTCCCGACCTTGACTCAGGAGCAAGAGTCGGTGAAGGGGACAATGTTTGTGTGACCCTGATGCAATTACAAAACGCACGTTTTTGTTCTAATCCTTGGGGTTCTTTGGTATGCCAAGCAATCGACGATACTTACGGTGCTTCGATTTGTCTTGCATGCCCAACCGTTTGCATAGTGAGCGGGAGTCCCAAATCGCAAGTGCACGATCCAAAAGTGTCAGCTCTAATTAATCGAAAGCCGTGGCTCACACGCCCTTTTGGTTTTCAATGCAAAATAAAGTTTGGGAGCCCCACTGCCTGACTGGAGAGCACCCCTTGACAGATGTTGACACGGTGTCCTTCTGCAAGTCGCGTTCATGCCCTATTGCGCTGCTGTTTGTCGAGGACCTATTGTAAAGCTGTTGTAAATGGCCACCTGCAGAATGCAGGGTATTTGCATGTAAATTGGCCGACAGTCCAGGGTGGAGGCGTCATGAAGTTTGGGTCGGTGTGCTCTTGCTGCTTGCCTCGCTTGCATGGTTTCTGAAGTGCTTTCGGTGGCGCTGTCGTATTTCGATGCTGTCATGTCACGTATTCGGGATCGCGATGGTCTTTAGCTATGGGGTATGACCCGTCTAGAATGAACCTGAAACTATAGAATCTGGAAGACTGAGGCATGCGAGTGAGGGCAAACAGTGGGTGGACGGTGGCTGGACAGATGTGGTAGTCTCTGAGGACTGGTTCCTTGGCATGCTATCTATCAATAGTGAGCCGCGGCAGCTGCAGTTTGCTCATGTGTGAGTCGGAGCTCCGGGGTTTGTTTGGAGCATGTCGTTTGATTTTTTGAGTGGGAGGTGTCTCGAACTGCACACAAACCCTTAAAGGCTTCCGTATAAATTTCGACGCAAACCATCCATTTTCGCAGCTGAGGCTCGCCATCTCTGGCTTGGCCTTTGGCTTGCTGCTGCTGCTATGCTTCACCGTTTTAAAGTGGATTTGGAAAGAGGTTAACCACGACTGGAAGTTAAATTGTGATGTGGTGGCCTCAGTTGCTGGGATGATTCGTGGGACGATAGTGACAGACAATGCTGCACCCCGTGCCAACCTCCACAGAGATCAGACTGCAAGATTTTAAGTGCTGTCCCTCTGTGGATCTGAGTGGTGTGGTTCCCCCAACACTCCTGCGGCGGGATAGGGCTCACTGCACAAATTGACCCGTGATGCGCTTGGAGCTTCAACTTCTTGATTGCCTGTGGAAACAAGAGACCGTATGTACGAGCTGTAGGGTACTTTAAGGGACTCTCTTTGAATGCACTCACACGGATCATCATCAACCTGCCAGGACGACGTATCTTCGATCAAGGGGCGGCTTCTGCATTCCGTTTGGATTTCGAAGCTAGTGTTCGGTCCACTCAGATTTCGTGTCCGGGTTGCCCGGCTCCACGAAAATCATGAATCAATATTCCGCATGCACCTTCTGCGATGACAGCAACAAGGCAACAAGGCAGCGAGCTTGAAGGCCGGAAAAAGCCCAGTTCACGGAAAGCTATAAAATTCGAAATACATTCGGGGATGTTGTGGGCGCACCTTTCCGCGGAAGCCTATTGCTTGACAGCAACAGTTGGTACCTGCAAACACTAAGACTGTGATATTGCAATTTGGAGGAACGTTATCGGTTAGGGCGCCTGAACCCGGCCTGACAGTAATCCAGGTAAATCGCCTCGACAAATCGCGCAAGCTGCGCCAGCTGACATAGGATGCGAAGAAAGAAGCAACCCCAATAAGCAGGCAGGAGAAGGTCAGAGCCCGTTGCTAGGATCGGAATCTGAGCAGACAAAGACCCGCAGAAGTGCCGCAGAAGACCCATTGAGGTACGTAGAGATGTTCAAGAGCGAAATTCTACAAATTGACATAGGTTAAGTAAGGTTAAAGGCAGTGATCGGAGCAAAACGTCAGACGAGCTTTTCGAAGCAGCAAGTGCAAGACTGCCAGCAAGGGGCAGGGGTGTGGCAGGACACGCACTGAAACCAGAACGGCGAAAAACAGCATGGTTCCGGCGCAAATGCTAGGAGCTAGGAGTGTCAGATCCACGAGCAGCAAAGAATAATGACAGACCCCGGCCACCAGGCCCAGCCCAAAATGGCATCTGCACTGACTGATGAAAATTGCATGGCTCATCGCCTTGTTCGCTTGCAGTTCCCCTGTCAGAACTTGATGTCCGAGGTCTGGGTAGCCCAGCACGAATACCTCTGGGAAAGAGCGAAGAGAAGCTTGGAATCCACGAGCCAGCTTGCACACCTTCCTTCTCGGTCGTTCTGGTGATGCATATTGCACAAGAACCGAGAGTGGGTCGCTTCTGGGTGGGCCCAATCATCGTAGGGGTGTGCTTGGAAACAAGGATCGAAAATCTTCGCAGTTGACTCGCATACGCTGACGGAAGCCGAGATGGAGGTGCCAAGATCCAGGGCAGGTGCAACGGCTGCCTGGTAACTGCAGAACAGGCAGCGCTTGCCAAGAAGACTCCGAAAGACAAGGATGACAGTGGCACGGTTGCACAATGTTTGCGTGCCGGCTTTGACGTGTCTCATTACGTAGAAGGTGATGATTTGGAGCTCTCTTTCCAAGAGCCCACGGCTGCAAGCAGGGGCATCAGGGAAAGTGGCAGCAGTGTCCAAGCCGTGGCAGGTGGGCATAGATCCTCAGCCATGCGAGAGGGAAAAAGTCAGCTGCCTGCACAGCTGAGGACAGAGTAGTGATGTGCTCACCTTTCTTTGTCCTGGACAACTTCCTGGCAAACGCTTATTCTTGTGAAGAACAGGCGGGACTTAGATCACCAACCCCATGTGGCTTCAAATGGGGTTGAGGCTCTGAAATATTTCAGCTTCGTTTGAAAGTCGTTTTTTTGCTGCCTGCTGCGCCTGGACAGTGTGTGACATGTTGTGGGCTAGTAGCAACTGACCTTGCAAAAGCGACTCTTGCAGGGTTTCCAGTGACAAACTGATTAAAAGGAGGCCAAGAATCGGCTCTGGATTCACAATCACCGCTTCGTGGCATCGCTTGCTGCCCACAAAAAGTACTTTCCGACAGTTTCCCGTCCGATCCCAAGTTGTTTTCATTGCACAGTTCTGCCAGGCCACAGCTACTTACACCCTAGGCCCTCTATCTTCATTCAGAGTTGAACTTGAAATGCAATCAGCTCTACAACACCGCCAGCACAGAGGGACTCTGATTGGCTTGGCTTTTGGCTCTGGTCTTTCGGGCCACTCATTGCCATGCCCGTCGTTGATCCAGAGAAATCAAAAGCCTTGAGTTTGGTCGTTGTTTTGGGTGGATGCCTATGGTGCTTTGGAAGTTCTAAACTTTGTATCTCGAGATGTGTCGAACATCGGGCTGAGGGAAGAAGGGGTTCTGTTGAAGATGATTCTCCCTCCCTTTCAACACATGTCTCACTTTGCTGGCTCAAGAGCACATGACTCGTCTGGATGGTCCGAGTGTGAGCGCCCAAAGCTTTTCGGGTGCCAGATCCTTCTCTCTGGCCCGTCATGACGATATCAGTACGATCCGGTATGCCTGTTACAGCAGCTGTCATTAATGATAGAAGAGTAGGTGCCAGTGCTGGAGGAGGGCACACTGACCGCACGGTATCTTGTGTTTTGAATGCGCAGGTGGGTTTGTCAGTGGCATCGGCAATACTGCACGCCGTGGCCTTTTCTGCAGTATGCCTGCTGCCGTCCTACGCATGTTGCCTGATGCCTGAGCCCATGCCCGCAGGTAGCAATCCTTTGGGATTGTTGTAAGCGGAGGGATACTAGTGCATCACACGACGTTGCAGCGATAGGTTGGCGTGCATGAGTGTTTTTGCTAGTTAGGCGTGGGGCCCATCATTTCATGTCATTGCCTCGGCCTACGGACTTTGCATCATCCTGCTGGGGCCCTTCTACTATTTCTCCTTCGGCAACATCACGGTTCGATTCGCACTGAGCGTGTTGCAGATCGCCTGTTTGGCTTTCTGGACAGTTTTGACTGTTGCGTGTCTGGACAGCACCAAGTCACACCAACTGTCGATGCTGTGTGCACCAATCAAACAACAGACTGCTAGTCAGCTTGTGCTTTGAGCCCAGGTACCTTGTCAGTGCCATTATCTATCTGTCAGCCATATCTGCCGTTAACGAAGATTTGATTCCGGACGCACTGAGCCCATTGGCGACAATCGTGGCCTATGTCGCTGTCATAACCGTACGACTCAAAGAACCTTGGCGGCAGACTCTAATCCTCTGCCACTTTGCGATCGATTGCGTACTGCAACGTTTCGATTGAATTTGGAATTTCTTTGGCAAGTGCCGAGATAAACTTCCAGCATCTCCGGGACTCGGTTTGACAGTTGCGTGGGAGACTGCTTTTGCCGGTGCAGTGCATCGAGTCAAGAACTGCGACTGCGGGCCGCAGGCAGTACGAGGCCAGATGAGAATGTGCGACTTTTATTTTTCGGACCGCTGAGCATCACTGCCAGTAAGGACCTTCAGCAACATTATATGGAAATCTTGAAGGGCAAGAAGTCCAAAGGTTTCATCATATCTCAGATCCAACGGCTGGGATTCTCCACCGGAGAGATTGTCATATTGGTACTTGCTGCTCGGCTTAAACAATGGCGCCAGACCTCTTCTCTCTTCCGAATCTCTCTCTGTCTCTCTCTCTCTCTCTCTCTCTCTCTCTCTCTCTCTCCCTTTGTTGATCCAATGGAGGTGTGCAGGTGATTTGTGCAGGTGGCTTGCTCTGCTCAGGAAGGAGTGGCTGCCTTGCTCGGCCTTCTGATTTTGCAGCTGCGTGTTCGGAACGCATATGCTGGCCCGGGAATGCATGGCAATCTCCTCAGTTCCGCGATATTGCCGAGCTATGCCGTCGTTCATTCGGCACCCTGGCACAACTCCGAATCTCGTTTGGTGATTGTAGACCTTCAGACCATTCCTAAAAATCTAGTATGTGGGGCCCGATAAGATTCACTAGTCGTAACGCATGGCTTCGTAGCACGACGCTTGAGGATGGCACAGCAGGGAGAGAGAAAGCAGATCTGAACGCAGCCATGCTGCCAGATGTCGCACCCCTGTATGCTGGCAAAGGTTGTCCAACTGCGCAAGAGCTCGAACAGCGATGCGGCAAGCAATGTTGACGAAGTCACAGGCGCTATCACCGTGCGGTCCTTGGTGTTGGGAGTAAAGAATCGTGGGTCAGATAGTCTTTGCATGATTTCGTGGCCTCATACCTGCCAGCATGTCGCAGTGCATCGGGCTGAGGACATTTTCTGAGAATTTCCCGCCTCTGGCTACAAATGCAAGGGGAGCTCATTCTGCTTATCTCCGACTTTCACAAAGCCACATGGATTGCCAAAGGCAAAGCTTTGAGAAAATTGTCCAAGATATCGATCCCGATAAAGAGGTCGTGAAGGAAAACATGACTCGATTTCGGAAAAGAAGAATAAAATCTGGAAAACTATATTTTTATCAGATTTGAGGATTTCATATTATTTAAAAATCTATTAATCTATGCCATATTTTTTCTATATATATTTCTTTATATTATAAATATAGTTAGATAGGAAAATATTGGTATCTATTATAGATATAATCCGACATCTTATTTCTATCTATAAGATAATATAATATGAATTGGATGCTATCTTAAATAGATAATTAATTAATTGATTCGATATGAAGTATTTTTAATTTCTTTAATTTTTTAATAAGATTTGAATATTTATATTTATAAAGGAACAAAACGAAATTAGAATTTAGAGGTTCTCTTATACGAATGAAGAAAAATTGAAGAATAAGGCGAAATAGATTTTATTAGCTTATAAAGGGATTAGGAATAATGATCCTATTAGAAGAAAAGGTTTTATTTAGTCGTATATATTTCTTATATAGTAGTGGTAGGTTTGATGAAAAGATGACGAAATTAAATCGATAATTAAGAATATTCTTGGAATTATAAGATTTTTAATTGAATAAAAAGATAAGAATTATGATAAATGATTTTAGATAATATGATATTTTTTTCAATTGGGGCGATTTTTTATGTTCTGGCCAATGAATTCCGACGAGGAATTAATGAATATTATTTATTTAAAGAATAATTCTGAATACATCTACTAGTAATTAATATTAGAAGGCATTCGGCAAATATTCACTTTGTTGGCGAGCTCGGAGATGGAGGGAATGATTTGTAAGGATTTCTTTAGCGAGCCTGGGGGAGGGATTGGTAGGAATATCTTAATCGGTTCGAAATCATAGATCTATAAGTATTGCATCTATTAAGAATATTTCAGCGTATTCGGCAAATGCTATGCCTACTAGGAATCCCATACCGTAGTCGGATGGGGAGGTGGAGTCCAACAAATGTTGTATCTATTACGAATATTACGACGCGTTTAGTAAGTATTGCGCTTGCTAGGAACCCCACAGCGTCGTCGGAAAAAGAGGGAAGGTAGCTAATATTGCACTATAGCGCGTTCGGGTATGCTCGGCAAATACTGCGCCCACTAAGAAGACCACAACGCGCTCGGAAGTAGAGGGGGCCTAGCAAATATTGTGTCTACTAGGATTACCGCAGCACGCTCGGGGGGTGCAGGGGGAGTGACCTACTAGGAACGCCACAGCGCGCTCGGGGGCGGAAGGCGGCACATGCTGCGCCTGAGTGCGTGAGCGCGTGAAGTGAATGAGTGGGATGAGTGAAGTGAGTGAGCGGAAGAAGGAAGAAGGAAGGAAAGAAGAAGAGGAAGAAGTGGAGGAGGCGGACATTAAACAATAAAAGTAAGAATCCCGCACAAAGATGTGGGGAAAAAAAGGTAATTTTATATGAAAAAATCAAGTGTAAATGGTCATATATGATATTGAAATATATATATATATATTGAAATACGATCGAAAGATTACGACGTCATAGGGCTCGACTCCAGCAAATTCAAGATAATATTATCATCGAATTCGTACGGAAATAATAAAGTATCATCTAGCTCGGGCTCCGGCGTGTGCTGGCAAAATTTTTCGATATATGTAATATTGCCTATCTATTGATATGGATGATCGACTCATCTCGCCTCCATATATCTCTAAGAGCCCAGAAGAGGAAAATCAACGAGATAAGTCGCGGCGCTTCGGCCCCACAAACAGCCAATATTCTAATGAAAATAGTATGGACTACTCGAATATATCGATTTGATCGATTTGATCTTTATTCCCCAAATAGCGAAGTATTCAGGTTCTCAATTTATGCAAAGTAAGGGATAGTGTGACGCGCCTCACCGGGGACTAGCCGGATTTGTTTCCCTTCATAATCTCAACTAAACCTGTTGTCACTACACTATCTGAGTCTGGGAGCCGGATACTGTGACACGCCTCGCCGGGGACTAGCCGGATTTGTCTCCCTTCATAATCTCAATTTAAACTGTTATCGCCGCTCTGTCTGAGTCTGAGAGCCGCATGTTGTGACACGCCTCGCCGGGAACTAGCCGGATTTGTCTCCCTTCATAATCTCAATTTAAACTGTTGTCTCCGCTCGATTGTCTCCGCTCTGTCTGAATCTGGGAGCCGGATGTTGGGACGCGGGGACTAGGCGGCTTTATCTCCCTTCATAATCTCAATTTAAATTGATGTCTCCGCTATTGTCTCCGCTCTGTCTGAATCTGGGAGCCGGATGCTGTGACATGCCTCGCCGGATTTGTTTCCCTTCATAATCTCAATTTAAGTTGTTGTCTCCGCTGTTGTCTCCGCTCTGTCTGAGTCTGGGAGCCGGATGTTGTGACGCGCCTCGCCGGGGACTAGGCGGATTTGTCTCCCTTCATAATCTCAATTTAAACTGTTGTCTCCGCTATTGTCTCCGCTCTGCCTGAGTCTGGGAGCCGGATACTGTGACGCGCCTCGCCGGGAACTAGGCGGATTTGTCTCCCTGCATAAACTCAATATAAACAGTTGTCTCCGATGTTGTCTCCGTTCTGTCTGAGTGAGGGAGCCAGATACTATGACGCGCCTCGCCGGGGACTAGCCGGATTTGTCTCCCGTTGTCTCCGCTGTTGTCTCTGCTCT